GTTTCTAAGATAAGTAGAAAATGAAGCTGGAGTTCATATTTTTTTTTTCCCTACAATGTCACAGAAATATTAAGCAGAAAAAAAGTTGAGTGTAGAATTCCTGGTGCACACATTTAGCAATGTTCCAAAATAATTAGCCATGTTTGGGACCAATTAAAGTTATGGCAAAAACTACAAATTCCCCACATTGATAAAACTGAAACAGGAATATATCCCTAAAGCTCATCCCTTCTTTTGTTAAGCATGTGAACCTCTGCAAGGCAAAGATCTGAAGACAGAGTGTAGTGAGGAAGATGGAGGGACCACTCGTTTTGTTTGGCGGTCTGAGCTCCCAGCGACCCGTCTGTTGTTGAGGCTACTGCACTGGCTGCTTTTGCAGGATTCCTTGAGGAGTGGGGAGCCTCTAATTGTCTTTTGAATATCCCTGCTTTTCTTCTTTTATGCAAGAAGATACAAAATGACGCTTAGATTGCAGTTCCAGATGCTACCGTGGGACGAATCTGCACTCAGCAGCATTAACATAGTGTCGTGGCGGCCCCCTCCCCCAGGGGGGCCGAGGGAGGAGCCAGAGCCGCGCTCCCAGGCCGGCCGGTCAATGCAGAGGCAAACGTTCATTCGGGAGGACAGTTTCAGAGAGGCAGCTTTCACAAGGAAAAAATGAAATTAGTACATGTATCGTAGGTTCCTGTGAGGGTTGTTGAGAAAATGCTTGTGAATCACATGCTTCAAAAATGAGCACTGCAACTGGGACTTTGGCAGGCGGCTGTTCCCCAATCCTTCCATGTCTTTAACAACTCCAGCTCTGCCGTCCCTAGCTCTCTCTTCGCATTCTGTCTCTATAATCTCTCTCTCTCTCAGGTTAATTGGATTCTATAACAAATGCCCTTAGGGTTTCATTTATGCATCGTAATTGAACAACCTGTACACATGGACTCATTCTATGACTCCATGGATATGGGGTTGGCCAATAAGTCCATCTGGTTTTTTCCTGTAAAATAAAAGACACATTTTTCATTTTCAGCAATAACTTTATTGATGTGGGTATTTTTTCTTTTCTTAAAGTATATATTTTATGTATTGTTCTATTACAGTTGGCCCAATTTTTCCCTTTTCCCCCTCCACCCAAACCCCCACTCCCCCCAACAATTCCCCCACCTTAGTTCATGTCCATGGGTTGTGCATATAAGTTCTTTGGCTTCACATTTCCTATACTACTTTTGACATCCCCTCTGTCTATTTTGTACCTACCAATTTATGCTTCTTAATCCCTGTACCTTCTCCCCCACTCTACCCTCCCCCTCCCAGCTGATGACCCTCCCCTCCATATGTATGATTCTATTCTGTTCCTGGTCTGGTTGTTTGCTTGTTTTTTTGTTTGTTTGTTTGTTTTTGTTTTGGGTTTTTTTTTTTTTAGATTCAGTTGTTGGTAAGTTGTGAATTTGTCGCTATTTTAATGTTCATAGTTTTCATCATCTTCTTTTTCTTAAATAAGTCCCTTTAATATGTCATATAATAAGGGCTTGGTGGTGATGAACTCCTTTAGCTTTACCTTGCCTGAGAAGCACTTTATCTGCCCTTCCTTTCTAAGTGATAGCTTTGCTGGAAAGAGTGATCTTGGATGTAGGTCCTTGCTTTCCATCACTTTGAATACGTCTGGCCAGTCTGCCAAGTTTCTTCTGAGAAATCTGCTGACAGTCCTATGGGAACTCCTTTGTAGGGAACTCTCTGCTTTTCTCTTGTTGCTTTTAAGATTCTCTCTTCATCTTTAAACTTTGGCATTTTAATGATGATGTGTCTTGGTATGTTCCTCTTTGGGTCCAACTTGTTTGGGATTTATGTGCTTCCTGGACTTGTATGTCTACTTCCTTTGCCAATTTAGGGACATTTTCTTTCATTATTTTTTTCAAATAAATTTTCAGGTTCTTGCTCTTCCTCTTCTCCTTCTGGCATCATTTGGAAAGGTCCCAGAGGCTTCTTATTCTATCCTCTTTTTTTTTTAAATTCTTTTTCTTCTTGCTGTTCTGATTGAATGTTTTTTCTTCCTTTATGTTCCAAATTGTTGATTTGATACTCAGTTTCATCTACTCCAATGTCTGTTCCTTGTAGGTTTTCCTTCATTTCACTTAATGTATCCTTCATATTTGCCTGGGTCTTTTTATGTCATTGCCTTACTCAGTGGGTTCTTTGAGCACCCTAATAACCAGTGTTTTGAGCTCTGCGTCTGATAAGTTGCTCATCTCCATTTTGTTTAGTCTTTTTCTGACGTTTTGTTTCGTCCTTTCACGTGGGCCGTGTTTCTTCGTCTCCTCACTTTGGCAGCCTCCCTGTGTCTGTTTCTGTGTACCAGGTAGAGCTGCTTTGCCTCCCTGTCTTAGCAGTGTGGCCTGCTGTGGAGGAGCAGGTCTGTAAGTTGTGTGGGGTGGGATCTTAGGTGGTGGCCAGGACGGGTCAACCCGTTTCACTGCCCTGTGGCCCTGTGTGGGGCAGGGCTCAGACAGGGGACAGCGCCACTGCCTGGCCTCTGGACGTTTGCCCAGGAGGGAGATGTCTCCTAGCACGCGCCTTGTCCCTAGTCGCTTCACTTTCTCCCCGAATGCAACTTGTGCTCCTCCAGCTGTTGCCCTGGTGCTGAACCCCAGAGGAGGTGGGTCTGCGTGAGTCCTAAGTCAGTCCTACTTCTCTGCAGGCCCTTTAAGAGGAGTTGCCTGATAATTCAGCATCTCTTCTGTTGCCCCAACCCCCACTGCTTTTACAGCCAGAAGTTCTGGGGATTTTTCTTTCTGGCACTGGAACCCTGGGCTGCTGGGTAGTCTGGTTGGGGGCTGGGATCTCGCGCTCCGGAGGCACCCCTCTTGATTTTTATCCACGACCCGTGAATGTGGGACCACGACACGTGACTGTGGGACTCCTGCGGCTCCAAGCCACTTCCACGGCTGCGGGCCTCTCTGCCCCTCTCCACCTCTCTCTGTGCCTCCGCCCCTCCTACCCATCTGGATGAATGTGGCTTCTTTAAATCCTTGGTTGCTGGACTTGCATACAACTCGATTTTCTGACAGTTCTAGGTGGTATTTGTTTTGTAGTCTAGCTGTAATCTTTTCTGCAGTTGTGCGAGGAGAGGAACTGTGTTTACCTACGTCCCCATCTTGATAGGAAATCTGGTTTGGATATTTTGAGTATGTCAGCTACCTCCCATGTGGTATAATGTTGATTGTTCTCTCAGTTAATGTTTCAGTTCGATCGCTATCAACTTCAGCTGATCTACTCAACTGCGGAGCATCATCCAGTGAGAAATCTCCAGCACAAAATTTCACAAACCACTTTTGACATGTTTGATAAATCAGAGCACCTTCTCCATACACTACACAAATCTTTTTTTATGTTTTATTTGTGTTTTTACCATTCTTGAAACAATAAAGCACATATGATGAAAATATTGCATATTTTCTTCCATCTTCAATATTAAAATGGCTACACAAAAGTTCACCAATTTTGATTAGAAGTTTTTAAATGCACACTGATATGACAGCTGTTACAATACAATCTAACAAAACTGTTTAAAATGAAGTGGAAGACAACTAAATGCTATCAGAGCCAGCTTACGGGGGAAAAAAAGTAACGAGCTTTTCAACCAACCCAATATCTGATGCTACCATATGGTAAAAATATGATTATGAATTAAGAATGTTTATCAAGCATTTTCCATATAGTAAAAATGCTGATACTAGAATGTGCATTTTAGACCATGAAATACTCAATGACTAACTAACAATTTTTGCTTTCCTGGAAGAGCAACCGTCTCATCTATCTGTCCACATGAACTCTACAGCTCTTCAGAGATTCTGGAATGGAAATCAACTGACTCTATTATGAGTATTCGTAAGCTCCCATAACCCCGGGTGAAGTCCTTTTTACTAAATACGTTTAATATGATACATACAAGTAGGTCCTACTATTGAAAGACAGCTAAAAACTTTGAGAACTCTCTGACTTCCTGAAGAGTCTGCCTAAGTAGACTTTTGAAAGAAATTAAAAAAAATAAAAAACAGAGATTCCAAATAAAACACTTGTTTGTGGTGGGAGCTACCATACATCCTGGTTTTTGTTTGATTTTTTTGTATTTGCAATGAGATCACGTTGCAAAATTATCATGCAGCATTCCCTAAATTACTAACTTATCTACATGGATGTCAGGAATTAACTTTAATGTTGACTTACACGGTGCTTAGGGAAAGTACGGAACTTCAAATTTAGCAACATAAAAGAAAATTACGTTCACACAGTTTCAAGAGGCAAGAAGGGAAACTCCCACGCTCAGTGAACAGGCGGCCACCGCTTCCCGCCCGGTTTGGTCACTGCAGTATGCCCTGTGCTTGGTGGCGCAAAGCAGACTCACCTGAGCGCCTCGGGGCCTTCGACAACTTATAAACTAACACTTTAAAAGTAAATGTTCCAGCACATATATATATTTTTTTTTTTTGAAAAGTACTTACCATCAACCAAGTAGCTACAAATCATCCATTTTTCTATTTATTTTTTAGAAATGGAAGACATATTTAAACTCTCCATACCATTTGTACCACATTTTAATAATATCGCTTCAAAAATTCATCTTAAATCAACGAAAACTGCAACATTAACAGAAAGTATCTAAAGGTGGAATTACTATGAAGAGAAAGGACAAACCCAAAACCTACTAATGTGTTCCAAAGACTATTAAAAAATAGCTTTCCAACATAACTCCCGGAAGACGGTAGAGCTGCTTCAGTGCTTTTGTACTGAGTGAACTGTACGTGTGAGGGGTAATCAATGAAGTTGCTGATTTTGCTGTGTCCCGGGGAGCGGAAAGAGGGGCGGTGGGGGTCATGCTATTTAAATCTCCATGTGGATCTTGGTTTATCTGCAATAATAAGTCCTAAGTGGGCTGCTAATTAACTCTACTTCAAACCACTCCCCCACTGGAGGACTCACAGGCGGAGGCTCTGCCTCCTGGGACGACTCACCGTTCATGTTCTTGAAGATGTTCAGGATGGGGAGGATCTGGCGGTAGTAGGGCACCAGGGCCTCGCCCACCATCTCAGCGGACACCACCAGGTGCTGGAGGACTTTGAGGGTGACACACATGACCTGCCGGTTTCGGAGGTTCAAAGCATCTAAACGGCAGGAAAAGAAACAGGACAAAATGAGAAGCATGAACCTCCACAATGATGAGGCGAATTGAGTGGGGGACCATTTACCCAAAGCGCTCTCTCGGGGACCTCACAGGGGGCGGGCCCTGTCGCCACAGCTTCGCAGGACCGCTGAGGCCAGCACCGCTATCGGCATCTTCTAGGGGCCGCCGGTCCTCCCCGCTGGAGGCGACCGGTCACCGCGCTCAGCACGCAGCTCCCACCTCTCCCAGGGAGGCCGGGAGGGGCAGGAGACACGAAAGGGGGCAGATCAGTCAGCCTCGCTGGAGCTGAGGGCGCCCTGACGGCGACAGCAGATACATTTTCAGTGAACAGTCCACACTATTCTCGGCGCCGTTACCGTGAAACCAAAACCTGTTTGGGGAGGCGGGCTGCGCGTGTGTGAGCGGAGATTACAGGCCAGTTACAGACACGGCGGTTGTTTCCGGTGGAAGTGAACACAAACTGACTGTTCCTGCTCTCGGGCACGCAGGGAAGAAAGCAAAATCCTAAATGTTCAGAACTTCAAAAGGAATCATCATAAATAACTCCAAGAGACCAAAGAAGTACAAAATGTTCCAACGAACCCCTGTGAGCGCCCAGCAACAAGCGGTGCTGCGCAGCAGGACAGGAGACAGGAGGGTGCCCCCTGTTCACTGGCCCGGCCGGGTCTGGACGGGGCGTCTGCTCCTCCCCGCGGGGCGGGGTCAGAGGGCCGGCCCAGCGCTCGGATCGCGGACTGCCCGGCCTGGGCCGCAGCGCGGCGCTTCCCTGGTCCCAGTTTCCTCGACCATGGGAATCCGTCACTGACTTTCTAGGATGACTGCAAGTTCGAAGGTTTGTATAGAAGAGCTATATAAAGCACGTATTATAGAAGATGATTCAAACGGGGTGACTTATCCACTGTGATGCCCCAGGCTATTCCAAGACAAAGTCAAAGGCTCTTATTTGTAAGATGTTCCACCTTCTAAAAAAAAAAAGTTTGACTGTGACCTTAAAGTGTGTGCCACGCATGGAGGGACAAAAGGCACCCGGCTGTCAAAAGGGATGACGCCACGCTCAGAACGCCTGTGAGGCCGCCCTGACCGCATCCTTGAATTCCAGGTCACGCTTCCAATCACCTGAATCTTGAGAGCCCTCCAAATTCAGTTTGTTCCAAAGATAAGGTTCTGCCATAGACTTTCTCTTGGCCCCATTTCCCATACTCAGTAATGCTACAGCCGGGTTCCCAGCCAGCCAGGGTCAAGTTCTGTTTCTTAGCCCTCACGTTCTTCTTGTCGCCACGTCTTCTTGTTCTGTCTTTGGAATATCTCGTGAATTTATGTCCTCCCACCCAGCCTCCCCTCCGCCCCGCTGGTCCCCCCACCCTCCCCTCCACTCCTCTGGGTTCCCATCCTCCCCGACACCCCCCTGGTCCCCCCATCCTCCCCCTCATCCTCCCCGACACCCCAACCGGCCTTGCCACACTGCCGCAGGATGCACCTCCCTAGAGCCTGTCTAATGGCGGCAGCATCTGCTCAAAATGTGGAGTCAGCGTCCCCCTGACGCCACTTCCTACAGAACAAGGTGCACGCTAGCCAGTCACGAGGGTGACACTTCGGGTAAGTTTGAACCCAACTGAATTCTCAAGAAAGAATCTAAGACGGTAAGTTATTTAGTGGTTGCACAGCTATTTCCTCTGGAACCACAAACAAGTTCTTAAAAATAAAACGTGGTCAGTGTCACTGTCGCCGGCAGCCAAGAGGGAGCTGGGGTGGGGGCGTGCGCACCCCGGCAGCTCCCCAGCCCCTCAGGCAGCGTGCGTTCTGCTTGGGAGCAAACACAAACAGAATGGAAGGAGACGGCTCGGGGAGCCAACCTAAATATAGCTCTGGACGGCTCATTACTCCAGCATTTAGCCACAGCGCAGGCCATACCATATGTGTATTCTGGAAAACAACTAAAAACAGAATGCTGCAATTTCGCCCAAAGCTTTAGGAATGAGACAGTCAAGAGCAGGGCGTCAGAAAACCAGGGGAAGGTGGAGAGGAAGCAGGGCACCCAGAGGTTCTCACAACCAGTTGGGGGTGGGGCGGGGCTTTTTTCTGGTCTTATCACAACGAAAACTTCTGTCTTTCCCAGAAGTCAGCCGTCACCAAACCCTGCCTACTGATCCAGCGCAGTTTCACAGAGAGAGCCGGGAGCTTGCAGAGACCTTGTTCTGAAGGTTATGGGCAGCAAGCACGCGTTCGGCAAATGCACCAGCGAGTCCCCACCTGTGTTGGTTGGGGACTGCACAGAGCTGAGAGGGCTCAGGCACATGCTGGGGCTGACACTGAGCACTTTGATTGCATTCATTGCTTAAATCCTCGTTCACCAAAGGCTTACTGAGTGTGTGCTATGTACCAGTTGCTGTTCTAGGAATCGGAACTATAGAACAGAGCAAGACACACACGGTACCGCCCTCCTGGGGGGTGTGCAGTGCAGGAGGAGAGATGAACCTGTCCTGCAGGTATGATAAAGGTTCATAAGACGGGAGGAGTATTTAAACAGCAACTCAGAAGGGGCATTCCGGCCAGTCCGGAGAGCAGGGGATGCTCGCGGGCGCAAGGCAGGCCCCGGCACGGAGGGTATCCCAGGAGCGGGAGCCGCGCGCTAGAGGCTGCCCGTCTTGGGAAGAGGAGTCCCCTCTCCCCACAAGCCCCGCCCCCGCCCCCACGGATCGCGTTCTCTTCAGTGAGGTGCAGGCAAAGCCTCGGGGAGCGCACACACAGCCCTCCAGGTGGTTCTATCACTGTGTATGTATTTTTACAGGTGTGCGTCGACGCAGAAAAGGAGGTGCGGCTGCACCGCTTCCGCAGCCGCCCAGCGCCAGCTCCCCTGCGGCCTCGGCAGCCCAACAGAATCGGGTGTTGGACATGCTGGGCTCCCGCCTTTGCTCTCCTCTCGTCCTTCTCTCCCACCCCGCTCCCCGAACAGGACTCACAGCCACACGCAGCTGCATGTTTCATGAACTGCGTTCTGAAGGTTAGACGTTGCAACAGAGCTGCAGGAGTGTGTTTTTAGTATAGATTCAGATAAAGGTATAATTGTGTATGTAATTCTCACTACATTTTGTGGGTTTGGTTTTGTTTCTTTTTTTTCCCCCCAAAAGCTTTCCTGTTGACATTGAAAACTCACGGGTAGGAGAACCTGCTGGGGGTATCGGAAGCGACCGCTGTCCAGGCAGCGCTAGGGCCCGCCTGGCGGCTGTAGGAAAGCGTCCGGCCGCCGCAGCGGCGCCAAGAGCTGGCCTGTCGCTGCGCCCCCTGCTGGGGTGTGCACGCCATGCACGCAGGACGGCGGGCTCGCGTGGGCTCGCCGGCTACCGCTGCTAGAATGCGGCCATCAGGATATGCTGAGTGAAGTTTTTATATGTATGAGTAACAATAACGTCAAACTTTTGTTGATTAGCTTTATGCCTATATGTAGAGTTAATTGATCACTTAGGGATAAATTAATTCTCTCTCTCACGATGGCTTGTAATAATATCTATTAGCGAATAATTATTTCATTCTATTACAACCCCTACAAAGTGACATGGTGGCGTTAAATGTTATTGGACTGCCAATGACCGACAAGTATCCGGTTCTCAAAAACCCAAAAAGTCCAAAAGTCCATTACGTTTTCTTCTTACGATGGCTCGAGTAGCACTTGACTTTAACTTCATTTAAAACACTTTTGTTAGATTGTATTGTGACGGCTGTCATTAAGTTAAAAAAATTTTTAAATGAAGTTCTTTTTCGTTAGAAAAGCTCCTTAACAGATATAAAGAGAATATGACTCTCTAGCTTGAAAAGCAGGAAATGTGTTTATCCCCGTGCGGACGGCCCTGAAAGCTGCTCTCAAGACTTAAGTGAGGACTTTAAATTTAGAATTTAAATGCTTTTTATCCTTTCTTATTTTCTGGATTATTCAGAGTTATGGTTTTGGAAAGGGCCTTGCTCGAGAAACCTACTGGCACGGCAGGCCAGCCCGTGGGACCTTTCTATTTAGAAAACTGGATCTCTATTTGCTGCTTACTGCCTCCAAGAATTGCCAAGGAGGTAGAGGCTTCAGATATGGAGAAACTGCTAAAGAATAAGGAAAAATAATTTAAAGTCCAAGTGGTAAAACATTCATCTTAGCTTGTTATAAATTACATGTATGATTTTCTCAAGCATAAAATCTATTATTGCTATAATTTTTGTAAATTGAGAACATTTTCTACTATTAGATATGGTTCACTACTGTGGAATCATGAGAAATGGAAATATTTCTACTTCTTTTAATACTAGAACACCAAACAAAACACAAAAGCAAACAATGAATTCTAAAAGATACTTTTAACATGTTACTATAAGTGTTAATGTCCTTGATATAAAAAAGCTATCACAAACCCAGGACAGATGAAATCTTCTACTTTAAAAATGGGCAAAGAATGTGACTGGATAATACACAAATTAATAAATACAAATGAACAACCGCTATTCTAAAATGTTCAACTTCAGCGATAATCCAATGAAATAAAGCACTACTTCATCACTTTAAATACCATGTTAACAAAACGTTTTTGAAAATGGAAAACTTTGGGAAAAGCGGCTCCCGCACAGGCGCCACGCTCTCGGCCACCGCCAGCTCCGGAGAGCAGCGGCTGCGGGCCTGGGCCGCGCCCTTCCCTGCGGGCTCTCGGTGGAGCGGGGACGCAGCACAAGGCTGCGTCGGGGAGCGCGTCAGAAGGACTTCCATTTATAATTAGAGGCAACCTAACTGCTTCAAAAACAATGGCTTGTTTAAATACAATCTAGTATGTCCATACAATGGAAAATTATAGTTAATGAAGTCATCTAACAGAAAAATATCTTAATGATAGGAAATGTAAGATACAGGTGAGTAAAGAAGTAGGTTATAAAGCATATTTTCACTATAAGCTCATGTTATGGAATAAAATGCAAATAGAAAATACTGGAAATTTACATATTTAGATG